TGTCACTCCTGAGTAAGGTTAACAAAATAAGGCAAGCCACAGTATTTCTATAGCCCATGAGCCATATTCAGACTACAGCTCCTCTACACTGCCACCTCTGCAAAATGTTTAAAAGATTATGGAAACATCTGGGCCGGGGCGTGGTGATTCACGCCTGTAATCCCAGCACGTTGCGAGGCCGAGGCGGGCAGATCACGAGGTCAGGAGATCGAGGACGATCCTGGCCAACATGGTGAACTCTGTCTCTACTAAAAATACAAAAAAATTAGCCAGGCTGGTGGTGGGCGCCTGTAGTTCCCAGCTACTCGGGGAGGCTAAGGCAGAGAATGGCGTGAACGCCCGAGGCAGAGCTGCAGTGAGGGCAACAGCAGTGAGACTGCTGACTCAAAAGAGCTGACCAGCACCGATCGTCCGGCACTCCCCAGTGAGATGAACCCAGTACCTCAGTTGAAAATGCAGAAATCACCGGTCTTTTGTGTCGCTCGCGCTGGGAGTTGGAGACTGGAGCTGTTCCTATTCGGCCATCTTGCTCCGCCCCCAATTTTTTGTATTTTTAGTAGAGACAGAGTTTCACCATGTTGGCCAGGATCGTCTCGATCTCCTGACCTCGTGATCTGCCCGCCTCGGCCTCCCAAAGTGCTGGGATTACAGGCATGAATCACCACGCCCGGCCCCAGATGTTTCCATAATCTTTTTAAACATTTGCAGAGGTGGCAGTGTAGAGAGCTGTAGTCTGAATATGGCTCATGGGCTATAGAAATACTGTGCTTGCTTATTTTGTTTAACCTACTCAGGAGTGACATAAACAATGTAACCAGAGAGATTCTTATTTTGAAAACAATAGAAGAAACTTAATTTTTTAGTTTGCTGCATGAATCATATAGTCACTATGCCTAAAGGCATTTAAGTTTATGACCCCCATCTTAGAGGAATACTTTAGGGACAAACATCTCTTTGTTAAGGAAACAACTCTCTAATATACAGCAATTTCTATAGTTTCTTTTCCTTCTCTTTTCCACTTTAATAAAATCATTTCTATATATCTGTACCATATGTATTAGATATATACAATATAGATTGTGATCTAGATATAAATATGCATACAGTGATTACTAGAATTAGGTTTGGTTAATGTCCACAATTATTTCAGACTGGTGAGATTTTCTGTAAGTTTTTACTTTCTCTGTATTACTTAAATTTCCAATGATGAGAATTATTTTCACCATCAGTTACTATTCAAAAGATCATGAAGACAAAGATAATTAGTTATGTGCCCAGGATATTTTATATTAGGTGCTAAAATAGTTTACACGCCAAGAAAAATTCTTTGGGGGACCTAACATTAACATCAGTCTTATGGAAATTTGTAAATAATATTAATTTATTATTATTAAAATATACTTAAGATTTGTGTGTGTTAAATGAAAGATCTAAAGTAAATTATTAATATTATTGCATTTGGAAAAAAGGCAAACATGTATCTCTTCAGTGTGACTGCCTATTTTTTATTTACACAAGATTTTAAAAGGTTTTTTTCTTTACTGTTTGCTTAGATTAGTAAAATAACAAGATGGGTGCAGTTACTTTCCTTCAGGATCAGAGTCAGCGTGGCATTTGCTAAAGACAAAGTGGTGCTTCTAACAAGCCAAAGAGCTCGAGAGGTTCCAATCTGCCCCTTAGAGCCATAGGTAAATACAGATTATTTGAATGACTCTACCGAGTCTCCTCGTTGTTCCAGCATGCCATACCCCTTCTCAGTTCTGTGTCTAGTTTTGTAGTCTCTTCTTTTTAATATACTCTACCCACAGTTCCTACCTCTCCAGAAGGGAATATGTAGAGGTGTTTGAGTTGTTCCAAGGCCTTGCAAATGTTACTGATACATAACAGGAATCACAGTCTCACACAATGATGAATTATCCACCCAAAGTGCCAATAGCATCTGTGTGGAGAAACCAAACCTTCAAGACTCCAAGATCCAACTCAGTTCACACTTCCTAAAATGTACACCACCTACTCATGTTCTTCTCTGGAACTTTGAGAGGGTTTCTTATATGAAGCAAACATTTTAGCAAGTAATTCTATATGATTGCCTTTCTTCATTAGCCAACTGTTGTAAAGGCATAGATCCATTGTAGACTTCTTCAGAGACCTTGTCATGCCCGTTATCATACGGGTGCCTGGGATAGATAAAATAAAACTATTTCAGACCCTTTTACAGTGAAGATTTAACATCTCAGTTGGACAGCCAATTTAGTTAAATGGTATGTCTAAAGGTGCAGAAATCTGTGAATGCTATATTGAAAGAGAAATAGTGTGTATCCCTAAACACACATTTTATGTGATTCCTTGATTTATTCTACTTTGAAATTAGTAAGTTTTATTGAGATCTTGAAAAATGAGTTGCAATACTGTATTTTCATAGCTGTCTTTCCAGAACTCAAGACACTTCACAATACTTTCATGTTTTGACAAACTAATGTTAAAATACTCTGTTCCAAATGTGTCTATAAAATGTTTTTTTTTATTTCCTCATGACTTTTCCTTATTTTTGTATGACAGAATTTGTTCATCAAGGTCAACTTGGTAAATATATAATTGCGGAACATTTGATTTGAGGTATAACTTTAGTGTGAAAGCCTATTAACTCAATCACACCTAGTGCCCCAATCTTGGTTTCTAATATCATTCTCCGATAAAAAGAACCTGGACTTGTTGGAGAAATGGCTGATTCTAGGACTGGGGCAGTAAGTACAGAATGAGCCTGGGACATCTTGTAGTGCAGGGAGTAAGGAAGTGCTGAGAAATTAAAATAAAATGTTAAAACTCATAATGATTCAGATATGTTAAAGGACCATAGAACGCAACTGAAAAAAACTCCTAATGACTTAAAACCAAAGAATAAAATAAATATCCACAAGTCCATACTGATATAAACAAATCATTTAATAAATTATTCCATTATTTAAATAATGGAATAATTATTGAGTAAATAAGGAGAGAAGACAAAATTTCCTGCATAAAATTACAAATAATTTATATAAATAGCCATCCCTAAAAAGAGGGAAGCATAACTCTCTACTCCTTCATTACAGGCTACACACAGTGACTTCTTTCCAGAGTGCAGTTTGTAAGGGTGGTAGGGATAGAGTCACTTTACGGTGAAGAATCCTGACAAACACCACCTCAACCAGATGATCAAGGCCACATTATCAGTGATTAATCATGTTGGTAGTAAGTACTCTTGGTATGGTGTCATGAAAATGGCAATTGGTCTTCGTGTCTTCTTCCAGAAGCCCATAATTCTGGTTTCATTATGAGAAAAACATCAGACAAATTCCAATTTAGGGACATTCTACAAAATACTTGACTAGGAGTCCTCAAAACTGTCAAGGTCATCAAAAACAAGAAAAGCGCAAGAAACTGTCACAGTCTAGAAGAGCCTTAAAAAACATGATGACTAAATGTAATGTGGTATTTTCAATGGGATCCTGGAACAGAAAAAGGACATTGGGCAATAACTAAGCAATACAGATAAAGCGTGGACTTTGGCTAACAATAATTGCTTATTATTAGCTCCTTTACTGTAACAAATATGCCACACTCATTTGTCAGTAATATGGGAGATTGGGTGTGGGGTATATGGCCACTTTTTACAGTCTTCACAATTTTTCTGTTTCTAAAACAGTTGTATAAGATAAAGTATATTTGTTTTAAACCTATTAACTATTTTCAACTTTTTGAATTATGAAAGGAGTACTACTGTCAAAATGACACTTACAAAACTTAGAAACATTATCACTGTTACACTTTCCATAGCAGCACAAATAGTTCACGGGTACCATTGTGAGTGCTGTGCGGTGCCGCCCAAAGCCTCCCTTTGGAGGAAGGATGTATTCCCACAGCTGCAGTGAAGGGTGCTGGCTGACACTGCTGAGCTATCAGTTCTCTTCAGGAATTGTCTCACCTAAAGAGTACCACTTAGCACAAGGCCACGTCCACTTCTCAGTGCAGTTTGTATCTGACTGGTAATATTTAACAACCAGATCTCTGAAGAGAGAAAAACCAGTGCCCTTGTTTGTAGCATTTAACCAGTTTCTATAGTGATGATGATTCTACTATAGCCCATATCAAGTACCAAAGTGCGATCAATGAATGCCCATTGGGGAAGAGATGCATACAATCACCTCCCAAGCTGGAATGAGCCGGCTCTAGCACATCACTGTGTCCTTTTGATATCAACTTGGGACAACATTGAGGAGCCATTTCAAATTCACAGCTCCTGGGGGGCCAGCTGAGAGCTTATTATGACTGCATTGCAGCCCAATCTCTCCCTCTACCCAACCCTGCTTCCTTTCCATCCCTTCTAAGCATTTGACTCAACAGCACTCAACTTCCTGCATGTGAATCTCATCTCAGATTCTGCTTCCTGAGGAATCTAACGTGCAACAGGGATTTCTTGCTGGACAAACTAACCAAGAAGATTATTATTCAATGATTGCTTAAAGTACTTGAAGACAATTATCTTGGCAATGATGATGCTGATGGTGTGGTCATAGGACAACAAAGGAAAGGAAAAATTTTTGTCTAACAGACTCTCGAATTCTATTTAAACAAGGAGTCAGTATATGAAAAAGTAAAAATGATAAACAAGATGAGATGGTTGAGATGGGGTCTGACTATGTTGCCCAGGCTGGTCTCAAACACCTGGGCTCAGGGGGGTCCACCTGCCTAAGCCTCTCCAGTAGCTGGGATTACAGGCATGCCCCTCCATGCCTGTTAATAACCAAATATTTTAATGAAAATAATTTATGCTACTCTCTAGGAAACCCAGAGGACCTTTGGTAACCATGCCTATTTTACTTTACTTTCATATGCCCTTAACATGTAATCCATGTTGTCATTATCCACCATGCATTTATTGAATATCTACCTTGTGCCAAGCTCTGTGCTAGGGATCTTGCACTTAAAAAACACCATCCCAATTCTAAGGAACTTACACATCGGTATGAGGCCACAAAACAACAGTGAAGTGAAAAAGTGTCATGATTCATGTGAGTACAGGGCACTGTGGATGCTCTGAATACATGATGATAGCCGTCATTTATCAAGTTATGTTTGCCGTGTACCCAGGATTGTTTCTGATGCTTTACAAGCATTATTTCCTTAAATCTCACAGCAATCTCCTTTTAGATTCTTGCATATACCTTCACAGTAAGTGATTACATGCTTACCTCTTTCATATTTGGCTTGTGGTTTTAACTAGTTTGACACCTGACAGTTCAGCTCTCTCTCCCCCAGCTCAGCAAGGTTTCTGATGGTTGGTTCCTGGTTCATGATGTGTGACTACCCAGCTCATAAAACTGGCCTGGTATCTTTTCTTCCTGAGGCCAAGCTTTTCTACATTTTCTTAGATCTGGTAGGCCCCCCCTTTTTTTTTTTTTTTGCGTAACTTAGCCAGAGCTGTTTGCAGTTGAAAGATCCCAGCTGACATAAATAATAAGAATATAATCATATGAGCATGAAAAGCCAACAAAGAATAAGAGTGCAAAGATATAGAAAAGAGAGAGATGATAATATTTGATACAGTGCTGTTCCTAAAGAACCCAGGGAAAAGGGATCCATCCCAACTGACTGGCCTTTAACAGGAGAGAAACTTGTTTCACTGAAACTACAAGAATGGAGGCAAAAAAAAAAAAAAAAAGTATGGATAGAGATTCTTACTAGGATTGGGGGCAGGAGAAAGAATCAGCATGTCAAAGTTATGTATCAGATGGCCTCTATCATTTCCAAGAAAACAGCAGCATTGAGGAGAGGATAAAGAAGTGGGGAGTTAAAGAGGCCAAACGTTTACATAGCTGCTTTGGAGAATGGCCGAGTAGTTGACTGGACTGAGGGAGGCATTGTTATGGCAATATGGAATGGCATCAGTCTGTATAACTGGGTACCTTCACCACAGACAGCCTGAGAAAGAGACACAGCAGGAATCAGGCCTTTTATCTAAAACATTTTCTAAACTTTACTTATTGTGCTAAATGTATCCTTTTTTAAAGTTATAATGTTATAACAGTTATAATGTTAAAGTTTTTTAAAGTATAAATTTGAAAAATTAAATTGAAAAGTTTAAATAGTGCCAGGCATGGTGACTCACACCTGTAATCTCAGGGCTTTGGGGAACTGAGGCAGGTGGATCACTTGAGGCCAGGCATTAGAGACCAGCCAAGGCAACATAGCGCTTGAGCCCTCATCTTAAAAAGCTAAATAAAATTAAAAGTTAACCGGGCGTGGTGGCTGTCACCTGTAGTCCCAGCTACTCAGGAGGCTAAAGCGGGAGGATCATTTGAGCCCAGGAATTTGAGGTTACAGTGAGCTATGATTGTGCACTCCAGCCTGGGCAACAAAGTGAGACCCTGACTTTTAAAAAAAGAAACAAAATCTTGAGAAATCATCTTTTATTCCAAAGAAAATATAAAAAATCTCATTGAACCCAGCCTTAAATAATCTTTTTGAAAAAATTCCAAATCCATTTGAAAAATAGTGGTCTTGATTTTGTTCTGTGTAAAACCTAAAGTACATACAAATGGCCAGCAGAGGGAGCCAAAACCATGTATGTATTTCATTTCTACATCGTTTTTAGGAAAGTGGATTAATAAAAATTACAAAATGCAAATAACCCTCATCATTCAAGAATATATGCAAAAATCATAGAAATCATATATTTAGTGCCACTCTATGCCAAGTACTGTATGGAAAATTCAAAGCTAGAATGGGATTCTAAATGTGAAGCAACTGAAAAAGTATTCCTTCCTCTCACTCTCTAGGACTTTTTTGGGTTTTTGTTTTTTTCTTTTTTCTTTCTCTAGGACTTTTCTGTAGTAACTCCTGAAAAGCAAAATAATTTGTGTTCTATTGAAGTGGGAACATTTTATGAGTTATATGAACACTTTTTCAGTTCCTATTGCTGAGAACACAATTGTTAGCAGTGTGTTGAAAAGAAACGGGAGGGCCTTAGCTCACACCTCTTAAATCAGGCTCTAGGTATCTCTCAGGAAACAGAAGGAAATCATTTTTGTGGAAATTTGTTGACAAGGAATTTGCCGCAACTACACCATACATGTCTCTCCATTTTCTGGACAATAACTGCATTAGTTAAGGTGTTTTGTTTATAAGTAAGAGAATCCAACTCTGACCAACTCTGGCTAACTAAGCGGGGGAAATAATTTACTGAAAGAATGCTGGTTAGTACCATCCTTTCAATAATTTATAAATATTTGGGGGAAATGGTTGATATTTAAAAATGACAATGAATATATTTTGTATAACTTTACGTTCACAAATTTGAAAATTTATATAAAATAGATAACTTATAGAAAGATATATATGTAATATGTAATACATAACAAAAATAGAAGAAAACAGAATATAACTATTTTAAAAACGAATGTATTATTGACAACCTTCCTATTAAAAAAAAAAGAGAGAGAGAGAGAGAGAGAAAGAAAACAACAAAAAAAAATCCCTTCAGGTCCAACTGGCCTCACTGGCAAGTTCCAATAAACATGTGAGGATGAACAGTTTCACCTGAAACAAAGACTTGTAGAGAAAAGAAAGTGTTCACCTTCTCCTTTTATGTGGCGAGCATCACCTTGACCTGAAAGCCCAACAAGGACTTCCATTTGCCGAAAAATGAGTAGACATGCTTTTTTTCTATTCTTCTCACTACGTACAGTTACAAACTCTGGACATTATGAATACAACAAATACAATATGACTCTGAAAGGCAGAGAGAAGGAGGCAGACTGGCTAGGGACCTGGGACATGAGGAACGACAGAGCAGTAAGTACCCTGGGTTTCTTTTTACTTCATACATCCTTGGGTGTATGAAAACCGGGTAATGGGGATGTCAGCAAGCCAGAAATGCCAATGGGCACAGATGGAAAAAGCCCCCAAAACCTTGGTCTCTGTAGCCAGAGAACCAAGAAATAGGCAGCCCAGCAAGACAGAAAAGTTTTAAACAATAACCCCTCTACTCCACCAACAATCACAGAAGGAAACTGTGCCCTCACTCCCACCAGCAGAGGCTGAATAGGGAACCTGGACTTCCACCCTGGCTAGGCTATAATGAAGTACCCCAACAACGGAACACATACTCACCAACATATATCACAACTCAACCTCTGAAAGCTGGAAAACAATTTTTTTTAAAGCAACCAGAGAGAAACAATGCATTACTTCTGGGAAAAAAACAATTCAAAAGACAGGTTTCTCTTCAGAAACATTGGAAGCTGGAAGAAAGTAGCAAAAAATGTTTTAAATGAGATCCCCAAAATCAAGAACGAGGTAAGGCTGTTTGCTCCCACAACTGCTATGAGAGTAATGGGAGGTCTCGCCAGAGTAATAATGAGAGAAGTGGACAGATAATGCATACACATTAGAAAGAAAGAAAGAAAACTGTCCCTGTTTGCAGATGACAAATTCGATCTACATAGAAAATTCCAAAAAAATTTACAAAGATTTTTTTTAATCTATGAACAGCCTTCTAAAACTAATAAGGGACTTCAACAAAGTTGCAGGATACAAGATCAACATACAAACATCTATTTTATTTCTACATGCTATCAATAAACACTGAAATTTAAAATATGGTACCATTTACAATTGTCGAGAAAAATGAGACACGCGGTTGTAAATCTAACAAAGTACATATAAGACTTGTAAGCCAAGAACTATGAAATGATAATGGAAAAAACCTATAATGGAATATGGATGGAGTGATAATGGAATAAATATACGAAAGGACATGCTGTGTTCATGAACTGGGAGACTCAAGGTAATAGAGATGTCAGTTCTTCCCAAATTGACACACAGATTTAACACATTCCTATTAAAATGCTAGCAAGATTTTTTTGTGGATATAGACAAGTTTAATCTAAAATGTATATGGAAAAGTAAATGAATTATAGTAGTTAAAACGATGTTTGAAAGAAAAAGCAAAATGGGAGGAATTATTTTACCAAATTTTAAAACTTGCAGTTGGCCCTTGAACAACAAGCTTGAACTGCCTGGGTCCACATATACACAGATTTTCTCCTGCCTCAGCCATCCCTGAGACAGCAAAACCAACCCCTTCTCTTCATCCTCCTTCTCAGCCTACTCAATGTGAAGATGAGAAGGATGAAGACCTTTACGATGATCCACTTCCATGTAATGAATAGTAAATATATTTCCCCTTCGTGATGATTTTCTTAACATTTTCTTCTCTTTAGCTTACTTTATTGTAAGAATACAGTCTGTAAATATATAACATACAAAATATGCATTGGTACCTCTAACCTCTGCACTGTTCAAGGGCCAACTGTATTATGTATCTGCCATCAGATACATAATACATAATACACATCACAAAGACTATGTGGTATTGTCAGATGAATAGATGCATAGATCAGTGTAACAGTCTAGAGGACCCAGAAATAGCCCAGCACAAGTATGACCACCTGACTTTTTACAACAATGCAAAAACAATTCAGTGGAGGAAGGATAGTCTTTTCAATAAGTGGTACCGAAAAACAGTTGGATATCCATAGGCAAAAAGGAACCTCGACCTAAACCTCGCATCTCACATCTCATACAAAAATTAACTCAAAATGGATCACATAAAACCTTTAGAAGATAATATAGGAGAAAATCTTTGGTAACGAGGGCTTGGATAAGAGTTCTTAGACATAACACCAAAAGCACAATCTGTAAAAGACAAAAATTTATAAATTAAACTTCATTAGAATTAAAACTATTGCTCTGTGAAAGACCTTATTAGGAAGATGAAAACAAGCTGTAGAGAGAAAAATGTTTGCAAACATATATCTGACAAAGAACTTGTAGCTAGAATATATAAAAAATTCTCAGAACACAGTATTAAAAACATCAAATAATCTAGTTAGAAAATGCGCAAAAGATATGAAGAAACATTTCATTCTGATTACATACAGATAGCAAATTAACACATGAAAGTATCAGCCATTAGGGAAATGCAAAGTAAGACCACAATGAGATATCACCAATTACCAATCCAAATGGTTAAAATAAAAAATAGTAGCACTACTAATTGCTGGTGAGGATTAGAATAAGTGGATCCCTCATACATTGCTGGTGGGAATGCAAAAGGGTACAGCCACTCTGGAAAACATTTTGGCAGTTTGGGTGTCACTCTATTGCCCAGGCTGGAGTACAGTGGCACAAACATGGCTCACCACAGCCTTGATCTCCTGGGCTCAAGCGATCTTCCCACTTCAGCCTCCCAAGTATCTGGGACTACAGGCACGCACCACCAGGCCCAGTAAATTTTTTAGTTTTATTTTTAGTAGAGACAAGATCTCACTATGTTGCCCAGAATAGTCTCAAAATTCTGGGCTCAAGAGATCTTCTCACCTCAGCCTCCCAAAGTGCTGGGATTACAGGTGTGAGCCACCACACTTGGCCTCAACTTCCTTAATGTGCCTAAAAGGCCTCCCCTGATATGAGTACTCTCTGCTCTGCAGAGGCTTCTTATGCTTTTCCCTCCACCCACCCAGGCTTCTTCTAGTGTCTGGAACATGCTCTACCCTTTCCTGCCATAGACCCTTCAACGTGCTCTTTACTCTGCCAAAAACATTCTCCCCCACCCCCATCTTCTCTGCGACTTTTTTCTCACTTTTCAAGCCCTGGGACTGTGATTACTCCTTTAGAAAAGACTTCTGTGACCACCCATGTAAAGAGGTCCTTAATAACTCCTCTCACCAGGTTACGTCTTTCCACACTCATTTGTGTCATGAAATTATTATTCTATGTCTCTCTCCCCACATGACTATTCTGTAAAAGTCTGTAAGAGTAGAGACCATGTTTGAGCATTTTTTTCCTTATCCATTGTATCCTTAGCATCTAGCAAAGTGTCTGGCATATAAGAGGTGCTTGGTAAATGAATGAATAAATGAATAATGGGTCACTAAGTAGTGTATCTATTAAGTGCACTATGCTATTGATTGCACTATTGAAGGAAAAACAAACTCAGTCACTGATCTCGCTGAATTTATTGTATCTGACCTAAGCTTTGGCCAGCTTAAAAATAATATACAGACAGCCATACAATAGTGAGGAAAAAATAATCTGTTAAAACTACAAATTATAAACACAAAAGAAACATTTTTCAAATTGAATATGCATCTTAAGTAATACATTATTAGACATGAATAGTAATAAGAGAGTCATTTCCCTTCCACAGAGTGAAGAAAAATACAGAATTTTAGGAATCTGTGAACATTAAAAAGAATATTTTAAGTCCAAGATTAAAATATAGGTTCTGACAAGGAAAAAGTAGTAGAAAAACTGTGTATGTTAAATCATATATAGAGACTTTTGTCCTAAGTAACCTCAAAACTATCTTCTGCTGTTACAGACATCAGAAGAATGATGTTTCATTCAGAAAGGAGAATGTTTTTGGCAGAGTGAAGAGCGTGTTGCAGGGTCTGTGGCAGGAAAGCGTAGAGCATGTTCCAGAGCATGTAAAGAATGTTACAGAGAATGAAGGAAAAAAGAAAAAGCAGACAGAAGAGAGAGGACACACAGGGGTTTTTAAAAAAGTATTTTATATAATAATATGAACCAACCTAAAGCACACAATGTCTAACACAAAGTAAATGTCAATACATGCTCTACCCTTAAGTAGCAAATGTCCCTGCATGGCCAAACACTGAAGCCTTGCATGTGTAAATGTTTAAAAATGTCCAAAGCTTTCATTACATAACTACCGTCTATGACATCCACAGACTATCCAAAATGGCATTGTTCACTTTTATAAAAATAGACGTTAAATGATTTTTCTGTGAGTTAGCATCCCAACATCTAGACCTGCAATGGATCCAGGATGTTATGTCTTGGGTGGGGGTAGCTGGAAGGGGAGGTACAGAAGGATTATCTCAGACAGTGTACAGATATTCTGTAACTCTTACAAATTACACTCAAAGTTGTCACACAAATTGACGTGATATGGCATTCTAGTCCAAAATCCTTGCATAATTGGGCACAGGATAATTTGTCTAAATCCTTTGGTATGCACTGGTTTAATTTAAATAACCTTTTGTAAAATAGGTTTCCTTCCATTTTATACATATTCATGAAGACATGCTGTCAGCATTGAAAGATAGCCGAGCAGAATAAAGTCCTATCACACTGACAAGACAATTTCCTTGGGTAATGTAATCAGATAGTACAGCTGCATTCCTTGTTAATCTGAATTTAGTTCAAATAGCTAAAGAGCTTTATTCACTTTGTGATAAAAATTATACACTTGCAAAATAAGTTTTGGACAATTCACATAAATTTATTTTTGTAATAATTATTTATTGCAAGAGACTTTTAAAAAATACATTGAAGTGGCATTAGATCAAGAAGAAATAACCTGATTTCTGAAACTGTACTTCATCAAATGTACTAGGCTTCCATAATAGCAGTATTAGGGTGTCTGCTTGGTTAATTATGCAGGTTTTTACTTTATTTTTTGCCTTACTTGGAAAATTTACCAACATAATTTTTCAACACACTTTTTAAGCCAGATCATTTTAAACGAGATTCCTTTATCTAATCCTTAAGACTGAGTGACAAGAGGAGACAGAAAGGAAGGAGGCTTTAACGCTAATTTGCCTAGGATTATTTTTTAGCATGAAAATTGGACAACTGATGATATAGGGCAGTGTTTCTCAGATGTATCAGATCATGAGACTTAACTGCAATGCTTGTTTAAAATTATGGAATCCCAGGTCTCATTCCTACAGGTTCTGATTCCTGAGGTTTGGGATGTGTCTTAGGAATGTGTATTATATTAAAAGCACTTATTGAGTGCAGTGTAGGAAATACGTGGCATCATTGAAAGAACTTTGACCTAGTCTTAGTGTTCAAAACACCAGTTCTTCTGTGCGTGCTTACCTGAGTCATGTAATCTCACTGGGTCTAAATCTCCTCAGTTGCAAAGGTACAAAAACAACAAAAAACAAAAAGAGTTTGGCCGTAGTCCACAAACCCCATGAAGACAGGCGCCAGGCAGATTTTGTTCACTGCCTGATCCCCTGCACCTAGCCTGCTGCCTGTCACAGAGCAGTCTCTCTGTTAGTATTTGTCGACTAATTCACTATATGGATGAGCTACAAAGCTCTTCTTGGCTCTAAGATTATATGACTTTAAAACGAAGAAGTAATAAATGCATTTGGTCTGCCAATTACAAAATAATAATTATTCTCAAAAATAAAACAAGATATAAACTGAAAAAGGCCCTGCTTGTTTTTACTGGTTTCCGGGCTGCACATTCCTGGTGAGCATTTCAAAGGATGTGAGTTGAGTAATTTGATTTTATGTCTTCCTTACTGGACTGTGACTGTTAAAGGTAATGCAATTCATTACTGTGTTAACACAATGTTTAGTTCACAGTGTATGCTCAGTAAAAGTAAGTGGAATCTGGAAAACTCAGTAAATTCTATGGAGAATGATGCAGAAGAATGTAAGTTCTCTTGCTCTGTGGACAGGTATACTTAGTCACACCATTACTTTTAGGACTTTGCTTATTTTAGTCCTGAAGCATACGTTAAGCAACAAATCCAGAATTGTCAGAAATGTTCCCTGGCACAAGTAGATTGTGCAGAAGTGAGTGTTAAAAACTGATTATGAAGGAAAAATAAATCCTGAAAACTCTATTTATAAAAGGCTGGTCACAGTTGCTCACACCTCTAATCCCAGCACTTTAGGAGGTGAGGCAATCTGATCACTTGAGGTCAGGAGTTTGAGACCAGCCTGGTCAACATGGTGAAACTCCATCTCTAATAAAAATAGAAAAATTAACCAGGCATGGTGGTGCAAGCCTGTAATCCCAGGCACTTGAGAGGCTGAGGCACGAGAATGGCTTGAGTCACAGAGGCGGGGATTGCAGTGAACCGAGACTGCGCTACTGCACTGCAGCCTGGGTGACAAAGGGAAACTCCATCTAAAAAAAAAAAAAAAAAAAGAAGAAGAAGAAGAAGAAACAACAACAACAAAAAACCCCTCTATAATATTTCTAATTTATTTTAAAACTTAAATGCTCTTATTTACTTTTAAATTTTTGTTACATTACTTTATTTAAATACTTCCAGCTTTGTGCCGTGGCAGTATCATAGTCAATGAGGTTTAAATACTTCCTTACATTATGTATCTAAAATAATTTAGAGAAGTGGTTCTCAAAGTGTGTTCCCCACATCAGCAGCATCAACATCACCTGGGAACATGGAACAGATGATTGAGCTCTGGCCCAGATTCTGAGTGTGGGGCCACACAAATCTATGTTTTGACAAGTCTTCCAGGCAATTCTGATGAATGAGAACCACTGACTTAGGGTTAAAAAAAGACTATCATAAAAAAAATGAATTCAAAGAAAGCTGAATTCAATTTTTATAGCTCTGATAATGTATCAAAATTGAAAAGACCACATCATGTATCTAGTCAATTGCTTATCAACAGACTCAATTAGCAAACATACAGAAAATCATTTTTGTATAACTTGTTTCCTCTCTATGAAAAAATCCTGAAATACTATTTCTGAAATCAAAAATATGTAAACTCCTGGCTTTTAGGATATTAAATTCCTGACTTCTCAATTTTACAAGTACAATACAAATTTTTAATGATTAAAAATACTACCAAGTATTACTAAATTTCACTTTTATGTTATTAAAACATGAACAATAAAAAATGACGCTATGGGTATACAGTACAGTCACAGGTTTGTTTGTTTTTTTTAATTCAAATGTCAATTCTGATTTACAGCTAGTGATGTATAAGATTCTAAGGATAACTAGATATTATAAATTTAAGATTCTATGTTCCATGTAAGAAAAGCTCTCAGCTACAGAGTTTTGAAAATCTTAAAGCTACATTTTCTCAGATATCAGCAAAGAGGGAAGAGAGTTTTAATTTGAAGGCAGAGTAGAGATGAGGGTGCTGATGAGAAATGCTGATCCCTCCATTGTTACATTCTTCAGTTGTAAGTTAAGGAACTTGAAACTTGTTGACACAGTTAAGAAGGTTACAGAATTATTGCCCATTCTACATTGTTCTGGGGCTTGACAGAACATAAGTCTTCAGTATGTTTTTTTCAATATTTCCCCCAAGCCCTAAAATTCACCCAAGAGAAAGAGGTTGACTTAAATGTATAAGAAGAAGAAACAAATCATTCCATATGCAAGAACACCTAGTCAGGAACATTAAATGGCAGCGTGCTGATGACCTCTCCAGACTCGGTGACGATGGCATCGTAAACCCACCGTCGGTTGCAGCGGCACTCGGGCCCACACTTGTTGGAGTTACACTTGGGGCATGGGTAGAAGCAGCCTAGGCAGTTCTTCTCTAGACAATCACACAGGTCAACATTATTACAGAGGAGCCTGCCACTTTTGTCATACTTCCTCATTACTCTACAAAGGAAAAGCATGACATTAACATGACAGTGCAATCATCCTCAACATTGAGAATAAATGAGTGTACAATAAACATCATACACGTGACTATTTTACCCTGAGCCAGAACTCCAGAGATTACTAGAAACATTGCTACGCTGGACCAGAATTCCAGAGATTACCAGAAACACTCCAGAATATTCGATGGCAGTGACGTCATGGGAAATTCAGTCAATATGAGATCAAACAACTTCCAGTGCAGTCAGGCTTGTCATCTAGAGTAACACTTCATTTTTCTAGCATTGCTGGGAAATGCAGCGATCTACCTAAGAAAATTATGAGGAATACCGAACTAAAACTTCCTCCAACAAATTGCTCCAAAGTTTTCTTTAAAATATTACCATTCTTGATGGACTTTTCCCTAACAAATTATTTTTTTTTTCTTAAAAGCACCATGCCAAATGCAACTACCACATTTTTGTTACCTAAAATTAGAACTGTCAGTTACTACACCATAATCATTTAAAGAAAGAAAAGCACCTTTGCTAACAGTCTCCAAGTGCCATTTCTTCTGTTCCTTTCTGATTCTGCTTTTTACCCAGTATGGAGGCAGAAAGGAGGTGATCAGGAATGGAGGATCATACATCATAAGCTCTGAGCGAAGGTGAGATGCTCTGTCCCAGAGGACAGTGCAGAGTCCAGACTTTCTCTGTCAGCCTCTACAACATGGCCAGGGACAAAGGATTTTCACAGGAATCCTACCCCATTCTCAAACCCAACCATTTTGAAATAAATCCTTCAAAACTGAGTTGCTTCAAAACCTGAGAATAACAAAAATACCTCTGTATAACTTTTAGCCATTATTACCACTGGAGTCCAAATGATTGGTGGTCCCAAGCTAGTATGACAAAATTATAAATAATACTCCTGAACCCTTTGTCCCCAAGCAGGCACAATACCTCCACGCCTTCTATTCACCTAAGTAATATCGTTCCATCCTCTTCCCTTTCCTAAGAATGCAGGGAAGGGAAAGGATTGATTAGTCATTATGTGTACTTGCTGCCTGATGATCACCCTTTAGCAAGAATGCCTTCTAATGAAGATTCACATTTGAAGTGCTTTATTTGTGGAATGAAACTCTTCCTAAGCACCCCCCAGGAAATTTAGCAGAAGAGGATATTTTAAATCTATTATAAGAATGATGGAGTAGATGGCCCTGAAACTAACCTATAGCACAGGTCAGATTCTGTCCTCCCTTTGCCTTAACTCAAATACTCTCCTGTGTTGGTAAGGTTTTATGGTTTCCTGCCTATTTGATGCTTTTTTTTGGGGGGGGGTAAAATCCTGAATTATACACATCAAAGCATGCAAAATATATACACTACATGCATAGATAAAGAAGAATAAAACAAACGGGTGTGCCCACTGTCCAGCTTAAAAGGTGTTACAGCTGTGAAGTCCTCTTCATTCCCCACCCATTGCATCCCTCTACCCTCCCCTCAGAAAGGAACTGTACCTTGATGTTATAAAAGTCACTTCCTTGTTTTGCTTTTAGTTATGACACATATGTAGGTGTCCCTAAACATATTGTGATTTTTCTTTTGTAATTTTCTTTGTTATTCTGGTCATGAGTTGAGATTCTTCCATGAAGGTACATGTAGCTGTTCAAATATTTTCACTTCTATATGTATTCCACTGTATAAATATACCACAAGTTATTTATCTTTTCCATTGTTGATGGACATTTGGATTATTAACAGTTTATTTTCTTTGCTATTTCAGTGATGCCATGAAACTTCTTAAACATATTTCCCTATACGTGTATTAGACTTTTTCCAGATATTAATATATACTCAGGTGTGAAGATGTTAGGTCATAAGGCACATAGGTAACACTAAGCTGTTTTTAAATAGTGGTTGTAGCGTTTTACACTTAATTTATATCCCATAGCTTCATCAGCTTTGATGTCGACAGACTAAATTCTGACTCCCTGGGGAGTATGGCACTTCTCTGCATGTGCTGATGAGGTTCTATATCCTGAATGTTTATTTGTTGTTTCTTCTATGAAATGCGTTTATCAGTTTATTACTTTTTCTATTAGGATATTTATAGTTTTCTTATTGACTTGTAAGATTCTTCATATATTTTGGATACTGATTTTTTATATTATAAATAACTTCTACTTTATGATGTGTCTTTCAGTGTTTTTATGGAGTTGTAATGGGCATATTAATTTTAATATAGTCAAATTTATCCTTTTCCTTTATAGTTTGCTTAGTTTATTATTATTATTAATTAATTAATTAATTTTTTTTGTGGAGATGCAGTCTTGCTCTGTCACCCAGGCTGGAGTGCAGTGGTGTGATCTCTGCTCACTGCAACCTCCGCCTCCTCTCAGGTTCAAGCGATTCTCCTGCCTCAGCCTCCCAAGTAGCTGAGATTACAGGCGCGTGCCACCATGCCCAGCTAATTTTTTGTATTTTTAGTAGAGATGGGGTTTCACCATGTTAGCCAGGATGGTCTGGATCTCCTGACCTAGTGATCCACCCACTTTGGCCTCCCAAAGTACTGGAATTACAGGCGTGAGACACCGCGCCCAGCCAGTTTGCTTAGTTTATACTTAGGATGTGCTAACAATCATTGTACTTGATGAAAGTGCTGTGCCCATTTGATATCCCGAATTCATTCCCATGGTTATATTATTTATCCTTCTAATGATACATCTTCGTTACTTTTAAATCATCTTTCCTACTAAAGCCATTACTCTATTACAGGGCTATTGAAGCCTTTTTAAAAGAAATTGATTCCTAAATCGGGATTATAGTCTATTTTTCTGTTTCTTAAGGTTGCTAACGTCCAGACACATGGATACTATTGTATTTTAGAAGAGATTTTTTAAATAATAAATTATAAAAAGAGGGAACCTTTAATTGCTTTGTCAAGGAGAACTCATGCATTTCATAATCCCACAGACCAAATATAATAAGTCAGAATCTTACTTGTATTTTGTAGAAAAATATTCATTCATCTTTGACATCCGGGCTTTCTTTTTCTGCTGCCTTGTTTCAGGATTAAAGTCTGCTACCTGTGGTCCAGGGTTTTGAAATGCCAAGCATTTTAACTGCCGCTCTATTTGTTGCTATTAAACAAATAAAATGTATTAGTAGTAAGAATCAGATAGTTTTAAGTTTTACTTTTCCCCAAAATGAACTTTCTGTAACTTTCACCATAATGGCATGAAAGTATATATGTTTTACACAAAGAAATAAACGGTTTAATCTAATTAAGTTTCAAAAGATGGTATAAATTTTCTCAAGTTGGGCCATTCTTTCTGAATAAAGAAACAGTATAACACTCATAAAATAAAATGTGAAAAACAATCAAGGGGAATAGACGAATTCTCTTTAAAACTGCAAAACGGCACTCAGCTCTCCAAATTTGATGAGGATGCACATCAGAACTAGCATTTGATGTGGGTAAGGACAAAGGAGTAGAGGCCCTTCCTCAGCTGTTAGCTAAAGAAGCCCATGTAGTGTCTCAAACCACAGTGAGAACCCAGAGTAGATCCAGCACTCCCCTTCAGTGCCCTGGGACGCATTTCGGAGCTACTCCCTACCCAGGACTGGCCTCCACGTGGGGCTCCCATTCAGAACTCAGCCACCTGAAGGACTGACTTTCAGTCAAAGCCAGATTGGAACAAGAGAAATATTGCTAGGATGACTTTCTAGGGCATAGGGGGACATTTTCAAAAGTCTCCAGAGTTGTTTTTTTTTTTTTTTTTGAGATAGGGTCTTGCTCTGTCACCCAGGCTGGAGTGCTATGGCATGATCATGGCTCACTGCAGCCTCATTCCCCCCGGGGCTCAAGTGATCCTCCCACCTCAGCCTCCCATGTGGGTGAGACTACAGGACGCACCACAATGCTTGGCTAATTTTTGTGTACATGTGCAGTACAGATGGGGTATCACCATGTTGCCCAGGCTGGCCTTGAATTCCTGGGCTCAAGGGATCTACCTTGGGCTCTCAAAGCGCTGAGATTACGGGTGTGAGCCACTGTAATTAGAAATTAAATGGGGCCTGAGCTGAAAGACAATTAGAAATTAAATGGGGCCTGAGCTGGAAGACAAACAACAAAATGCTTCAATCGAATTGTACTGATTACTTATTGTGAACATGTAGCACATGTCATCAGGGAAGAAAATGCTCTTTTGAAGGATTATAGAAGAAAATAATCTCGGAAGCACAAAAACATATAGGCTGACATATACATGAAATACTCCACCTGGAAACAAAAGGGAACCTTTCAATATAGGAATTTCAATGTAACAAATTAGTAACAGAATGTCATGGACTTTTCTGCAGTTTATTTAGTTTAATACCAGTCTAGTCAGTCTAAAATAATACAATGTTTCTTTTAAATGTCATCTTGGTATCTGTATGTGGGTTTGTTTCATAAACTTAACCTTAAACTGTTCTGCGTTAGGTATGGTTATGAAATATGTACAACTTAGTACCATCGATCACTATTCCAAGTAGCACAGCAAAGTTAAGAATAGAGATGCAGGGTCACCTGCCTGTGCTCAAGCCTTGGCTCTGCCACGTACTAGTGGTGGGCCTTGAGCAAATTCCTATGTCTCTAGGCCCCAGTTTCTCCCTTTGTAAAATGGAGTTAACAATAGTATGGTGTGAAAAGGATTAGATGAGTTAATACATACAGTTTTAGAGCCATAACATGACATAATAAGAACAAAATAAAGATTCATTAAATAAAAACATTTGTATATATTCTCCACAAAAAGCAGAATTTTACTGTACAGAACACTCAGCTAAAAATCAGGGTACACAGGAGGTGGAGAGGAGATAGGTGAGGCGAGAGCAGCCCGCACTGAGCAGTGGGGTGGAGGGAAAGCTCTATCAGCCTGGGCGGCAGAGCTCCTCCCTGTGAAGCCCTGCCTGGGCCCACCTTCCCACCTACATCCATGGGCATCTCAGAGATCCTCCAGGCAGCCCTCCCCAGTAGCATGGAATCATAACATCTGTGTGCCATACCAGTTGTTTCTGTCCAATTTGACAGTTCTTCTCAGGAAAACTATGATCTGTGTGTTCCTCTTGAATGGAATTGTTTTTCTCTGATTGTTCACTCATTTCTGATCACTAAAAAAGTAATTGGAAAAAATGACACATATTAGTATCATCTATTCCCAGTAACTTTATCTGGTGATTCTTTTCTACTCTCCCTCCACGTCTCACTTTTTTCAAAGTCAGACTGCATCTGTACTCCCAGCACCTTTTCTCCCACTCACTGTGAAACCTTGCATCTGACTCTCCCAGACCTGCGGCTCTCCTCTGCCAGGGGTTCCAGGAGAAAATCACCTGTACATTTGACAGTCCTTAGCATCATAAACCTCTCTGAAGCAGGATTAAGAAGACTCTGAGTTTTTAGAACTCCATTCTTCCTTCTTTACACACACTCTTGAAAGAAAAGGTATGATACGTTAATGCCATACATACCCAGTAATGTTGTGAAAAGCTCATCCACTCCGTGGTTTCAGCTGACACCTCTTCGTATACCATTCCCACAGTGATTCCCCAAAGCCTTGACCTCTTCATTCAAGTTTTCTGATACATTTCTAATGCAACTTGGGCTAAATGGTAATCAGTTTTTCATAAAACCCCACTGCTAAAATGCCTGTAACTTCTTCTAAATTACTTCAGTAGTATATATACAGGGTGTGTGTGTGTGTGTGTGTGTGTGTGTGTGAGAGAGAGAGAGAGAGAGAGAGAGGGAGAGAGAGATGGAGCCCACACAAGATGCTAATCATGAGTGACAGCCCAGGGGTGGTCTGCAATGTTCGATCAGAAGAGACCACTCTCCAGAGGAAGCTTCCACAAGCCCTGCTGTTTTCTCTGACTCTCATGTACTACCAATGCTGACTACAGGGTACCATTTCTACCAAAGGAACTTAAGAGTTACGTGTTATCATATTGGCTTGACTCATTGAGCAGCACCTCCAATTGCTGACCAATTGGAAATTCCATTTCTATCAATGGAAAATCTCCAAACTGCTCTCGACAGTGACTGGACTAATTTACATTCTCACCAACAGTGTGTAAGTATGCACCATGGAATACTATGCAGCCATAAAAAGACCTAAATCATCTCTTTTGGGCGACATGGATACAGTTGGAAGCCGTTATCTGAAGTGAACTAACACGGAAAAAGAAAACCAAATACTGCGTGTTCTTACTTATGTGGGAGCTAAACCCTGGCTACACATGGACAGAAAGATGGCAACAATAGACACTGGGGGCTACTGGGATGGGGGGAAATGGGTTGAAAAACTACCTATTGGGTACGGTGCTCATTACCTAGGTGCATTATCCCCCGTAACAAACCTGCATATGTACTCCCTGTGTCTAAAATAAAACTTGAAAGTAAAGAAATACAATATTCACATTTTTTTAAAAAAATCACCTTTTTATTTCTCCTTATAAAATTCAAACAGTCATTCTCAGGAAAAGTAAATAACAGCTATTTTAAAATGCATCTATTCATTAATAGAATTCATAAGCAGATATATATATTCACATATATATATATATATATGAAATAAACACATTGAAGCCTCAATGGTTAATTTAATTTTGTTTATCTTGACTTTTCAGTCTTTGCATTTGCTGCCATAATTTCTACTGCCATTATTTTGGAGAATTTTAATTTACTTTTTTGTGCATGTTACATAAATACTTAGGGCTGTGAAAAAACGTAATTTATAATAACTATTATTTCTAATTGGAAAATACAGTGCCATAAAGACTTACATGTGGTGTTTTATAGCGCTGCTGGAGTTTCTTACTGCCCTCTCATAGCCAACTTATATTTCTTTTATGGTCCTTCAAACTATTTGTTGGCTTAACATATTATGAATGAAAGAAAGGACACATTTAGAAGATGGCAAGGAAGGCAAGGAGGGCAAGGGCTGAAAAACTACCTATTTGGTACTTAGCTCTTTACCAAGATAATGAGTTCCATCATAATCCAAACCTCAGTATCATGCAATATACTTCTGTAACAAACCTGCACAGGTACTTCCTGATTCTAAAATAAAAGTTGAAAAGGAAAGAAAAATTAATTAATTAAATTTAATTAATTACACTTTGTCTACATCAGTTTCTACTTTGATATCCTCACATGCAATGTCAGACCTGATCAGCCAAACATTCCTATGAAGAATTTTTCAACTTGTAGAAGATAAAAATCATATGGAGCTGTTTCAAAAATCACCAATTTTCTTCTGAATCTCAGACCTACTGCAGTTGTAATTTGCAGGAAAGAATCTGGTATTCTGCATAATTAATAAGTTCTCTAGATGAACCTTATCATTAGGCAATTAAAGGAAATACTAGGGTAGGAAAAATAGGTATAATTTTCTCCATGCAGTCTGATGGTAAAACTACTGTCCATATAGATGGTCCCTGACTGAAGATGGTTTGACTTAGAACTTTTTGACTTTATGATGGTGTGAAAGCATGCTCCTTGATTTGCCATGGGCTATGTCCAAATAAACCCATAGTAAATTGAAAATATCATATGCCAAAAATGCACTTTCTACTTAAAAATATTTTGAGTTTATCAGTACGTAACCTGACCATAAATAGAGAAACACTGTATTATCTCCCCATCCCCGACACCATAATTCATTTAATACATTCCAGTCCTGCGAGTATTCTGAAACCAGGAATCTCTTTATCTCATTCTTATTAAAATACTTCAATGACTCCTGTCTGCCAATAATATCCCACCCCTCTGGTATATCAGTGAAGGTTCATCATAGCTGTCTCTAAACTTTATAGGCTCATATTCTGTCATACCTACACTTGGACCAAAGCTACCTGATCCCATTACTCCCATTGACCTCCCAATTCTTACCTAACTAAATCTTTCAATTTTAAGCTCTGCTTCTGCTCCCTCCTCTAAGAAGACCTTCCCGATTCACAAAGATCCTTTTCTTTCTTGGGCTGTTTGGAACTTCTTCAATAAAATTCCCAGAAAGGGGTCCCAAGTCCTCTAGCTTCCTCATGTAGCAAATTTTCCTCCTCATGGGAATAGATGTGACTATTAGACTACGAGCATCTTTGGAAACAAGAACTTTTCCTGGAAATATATTAGATAGACTTAACTGAACTGGGAGAAAGTGAATATCTTATGATGCCTGATGTACCTTTGTTTAAATCTTTAGTGAACTGTAGGCCTCTACAAGCAAGTTAGGAGCAAAACTTGCTTCTGTGTATTCCAAATAAAGCAAAAGGAAATTACAATAAAATTTCACTGGGGACTGAAATTGTCTTTGGATTTTATTACAAGCTCAAAATACCTGTCCCAGGAAAAGTAGTAAAAAGCTTCAGAACACACCCCTCTCCACACCCCCCACCAACTTTTCTCTCACTGGGTATGCCCAAGGCAGGGATTCCTAACCAGAGAATGCAGGGGGTTCTTGAACTTGAATGAGTAAAAAGTACATACTCGTTTTCACTAATTTCTAACTGAAATTCTTCTGTTTCCTGCTATTATAATGTAACCAACAAACCACAGTAGTGTTAGCAGTACCTGTGACATTGTCGAGTATGAAAACAGATTTTCATAACCCACTAGAGTTGCCATAGATGTCAAAGTTTTACTTATGTTCACCACTTCTTCAAGATAATAGCAGCTCTTAGACATGCTACTAGATCATGTTTGATGTGTTAACAATTGGGCACATATATTACTGTCACAATATTTGATAAGCATATTTCAGTATAATTGGTTTCCTTTCTTAACTTATAGGTTTTATATTATACAATTAAAAATAACATTCTGAGAAATGGTCCATAGATATCACTGTCTGCCAAAGGGATCTGTGATACAAAAATAAGATTAAGAACTGCCAAAAGGCAGGGAGAACCTACTGCCACCATCTCCACTGATGATGGTGATGAGAAACAACAGTTCCCAGCTCAGGATCATTCAAACTATAGAAGATGCTCATCTTCAAGCAGGGCCACATGTACGCTAAGCTATTGCATTTGATGGGGATACAAAAAGTGTGAAATCGGGTTAATAAACTGATTTGTCCTGACATTATGTCAGATTGCCTATGAAAGAGCCATAAAGTGTTCTAATACAAAGAGAAGAGGCTCCCCCAAGCATCAGACTCCTAGACTTTTAACACAGACTGCTAGAACAGAGGTGGTCAAAGTGTGCTCTGAAGATGGGGCAACTGTTTAGTACCAGTATGGGGAAAGACAAGAAGCTTGGGTCAGAATAGAAATCAACCACTTCATTACGCATGTTGGGTAGTGTTGGGGTTTTAAAAACAATCTGTCAAAATGAAGGCTTCAGAAATAGCCTCAGAAGCAAAACTTTCTCTCTATCTTAGGCCCTCTTCTCTCTCAGTCCCATTCTCTTTTGAGTCTGGCCATAGAAACTAGAATCCCTCTTCCCCAAGGTGGGTTAGAGAAACCAGCACCCCTTTTCTCCAAGGCCAGTCATAAAACCTTAAAGTATTACTCTGTCTTTCCCTCCACCCCATCTGTGTAAAAACTGACCATAAAGAAATCATTAATATCTGACCCACCTTGTTTGACTGTAGGTCATAAGACCCATTCCAGAGAGGGTCCTGCCTTATACCCAGAAGGAAGGAACACGTGCTCAGAGGGGCCGGGGAGAATGTAGAGATGGGACTTGCTGGGTTTCCCCACTTGGTCTATTAGCATTAGATCATACATTTTTGTCCAATCATAGTTTTATACAGCTGTCCATACCTTGTTGAACCTAAGCAGTACAATTTTCTGTATTTTACGGCTGAGGAAACCAAGGCTCAGAAAGATCATCTGAGTCACAAAGATACTAACAGGCTGCATGAGTTTGGATCTCAGATTTAGGTGACCCCCAACACTATGCCCTTTTAAGAATGAAAGACTTCTCCAAGGTTTATTTTATTGGTGATTACCATCTCTACACAGAAGCCTGGGGAAGGAATAGTAAAGGATGCACTATAAATAATCTCAAGTTTTCCTCCTTCAGCTCTTCTTCAGTAACACGACACTCAAAGCGTATACTAGGAAAGAAAAGCCCCCTGTTTAGGGCATATGAGCCACGTCTGACTTCAGGATTGGATTCTGAAGAAAGTCACTATATTAGTCTTCTCAGGCTGCTATAACAAATATCACAGACTGAGTGGCTTAAACAACAGACATTTATTTCTCATAGCTTTAGAGGCTGAGATGTCCAAGATCAAGGTGCCAACTGAGTCAGCTTTTGGTCAGGCTCTTTCTGGCTTGCAGAGTGCCTGCTTCTTGCTAAGTCCTCACAAGGCCTTTTCTTGGTATGCACACGGAGAAAGAGAGGCTGTTTTCCTCTTCTTACAAGACCAGCAATTCTATCAGATTAGGTCCACACCCTAGGACCTCATTTAAACTTAATTACCTCCCAAAGGCCCTATCTCTAAATATAGTCATGCTGGAATTCGGGCTTCAATTATGAATTTGGAGAGGACACAGTGAAGTCAATAGCAGTCATATACAGATGAAATTACCCTTGAAAATCCCTTCAGAAAATGCTACATTGAAATAGGCCAACAAAGCCAGGCATTCCTTTAGCACTGGAACAGATTATCATTCCTTAGGGTCAGCATCAGATGAAGCAGCTGGCTTATACATAGGAGCCATGATGGCTGAATTATCCATGATGGATACATGATGTTTACTTTTAAGCCTCCGAATCCCACACCCTGGCAAGGTGCTCATCCTGTGGAGGCTCAGGAACCACATCCCTTGAGGGAATGGCACCAGGTCCACAACTCTATCTTCACACTAACTCTGAGGCACAGGTCATTGAGAGGAACTCCAGGCAAAATGACTCATACGTTTATCACTTCCATTTATGTTTAGGATGCTGTGGCAGGTAGAGTTGAATTTACGTCAGTTGATTGTGTCTTGCATGGGATAGAATGAATAATTTTCCATCATTATCTCTATGGACACTAGCAAATTATCAAAGAAAGAAAAGTTCCATTTAAATTCTAGCCTAAAAGTTGGTCTCTGTTCTTACTCATAGCAG